TGTATCTCATTGTGGTTTTGGTTTGTATTTCCCTGATGGCTAGTGTTGTTGAACATTTTTTCATGTGTCTGTTAGTCATTTGTATGTCTTCTTTGGAGAAGTGTCCATGTCTTTTGCCCATTTTTTGACTGGATTATTTGCTTTTTGGGTGTTGAGTTTGAGAAGTTCTTTATAGATCTTGGATGCCAACCCTTTATCTATAGTGTCATTTGCAAATATCTTCTCCCATTCTGTGGGCTGCCTCTTAGTTTTGTTGACTGTTTCCTTTGCTGTGCAAAGGCTTTTTATCTTGATGAAATCCCAATAGTTCATTTTTGCTTTTGTTTCCCTTGCCTTTAGAGACATGTCTTGAAAGAAGTTGCCTTTAGAGACATGTCTTGAAAGAAAGACATGTCTTGAAAGACAATGTTGAAGGGGTTGCTGCCTATGTTCTCCACTAGGATTTTGATGGATTCCTGTCTCACATTGAGGTCTTTCATCCATTTTGAATTTATCTTTGTGTATGGTGTAAGAGAATGGTCTAGTTTCATTCTTCTGCATGTGGCTGTCCAACTCTCCCAACACCATTTGTTGAAGAGATTTTTTTTCCACTGGATATTCATTCCTGATTTGTTGAAGATTAGTTGACCACAGAGTTGAGGGTCCATTTCTGGAGACTCTACTCTGTTCCATTGATCTATATTTCTCTTTTTGTGCCAATAACATGCTGCCTTGATCACAGCTTTGTAATATAGCTTTAAGTCAAGCATTGTGATACCCCCAGCTTTGGTTTTCTTTTTCAACAATTCCCTGGCAATTCGGGGTTTTTCTGGTTCCATACAAATTATAGGATTGTTTGTTCCAACTCCATGAAAAATGCCAATGGTATTTTGATGGGGATGGCATTGAAAGTGTAGATTGCTCTGGGCAGCATAGATATTTTCACAGTGTTTATTCTTCCAATCCATGAGCATGGAATGTTTTTCCATCTCCTTGTGTCTTCCTCAGCTTCTTTCATAAGTGTTCTGTGATTTCTAGAGTATAGATCCTTTACCTCTTTGGTTAGGTTTATTCCTAGGTATCTTATGGTTTTTGGTGCTATTGTTAATGGGATCGAAAATTTCTGTTTCTTCAGTCTCATTGTTAGTGCATAGAAATGCAACTAATTTCTGTGCATTGATTTTGTATCCTGCCATGTTGCTGAATTGCTGTATGAGTTCTAGGAATTTGGGGGTGGAGTCTTTTGGGTTTTCCACATAAAGTTTCATGTCATCAGCGAAAAGAGAGAGTTTGACTTCTTCTTTGCCAATTTGAATGCTTTTATTTCTTTTTGTTGTTTTATTGCTGTTGCTAGGACTTCTAGTACTATGTTGAATGATAGTGGTGAGAGTGGGCATCCCTGTCATGTTCCTGACCTTAAGAGAAAAGCTCTCATTTTTTCCCTATTGAGAATGATATTCACTGTGGGCTTTTCATAGATGGATTTATGATATTAAGGTATGTTCCCTCTATCCCTATACTTTGAAGAGTTTTAATCAAGAAAGGATGCTGTATTTTGTCAAATGCTTTTTCTGCATCAATTGAGAGGATCGTATGGTTCTTGTCTTTTCTTTTATTAACGTACTGTATCACGTTGATTGATTTCTGAATGTTGAACCATTCTTGCATCCCAGGAATAAATCCCACTTGGTCGTGCTGAATAATCCTTTCAATGTACTGTTGGATCCTATTGGCTAGTATCTTGGTGAGTATTTTGGCTCCATGTTCATCAGGGATATTGGTTGTAATTCTCCTTTTTGATGGGGTCTTTGTCTTGTTTGGGAATCAAGTTAATGCTGGCCTCATACAACAAGTTTGGAAGTTTTCCTTCCATTTCTATTTTTTGGAACAGCTTCAGTAGAATAGGTATGATTTCTTCTTTAAATGTTTGGTAGAATTCCCCTGGGAAGCCACCTGGCCCTGGACTCTTGTTTTTTGGGAGATTTATGATTTCTGCTTCAATTTCCTTGCTGGTTACTTGTCTGTTCAGATGTTCTAACTCTTCCTGTTTCAGTCTTGGTAGTTTATAAGTTTCCAGGAAAGCATCCATTTTTTTTTCCCAGATTGCATAACTTTTGGCATATAGCTGATGGTAATAAGTTCTAATAATTGTCTCTATTTCTTGGTACTGGTTGTGATTTCTCCCCTTTCATTCATGATTTTATTAATTTGGGTCCATTCTCTTTTATTTTGGGTAAGTCTGGCCAGATGTTTATCGATCTTATTAATTCTTTCAACAAACCAACTTCTAGTTTCATCGATCTTTTCTGTTCTTCCAGTTTCTATTTCATTGATTTCTGCTCTAATCTTTATTATTTCTCTTCTCCTGCTTGGTTTAGGCTTTATTTGCTGTTCTTTCTCCAGATCCTTTAGTTGTAAGGTTAACTTGTGCATTTGGGATATTTCTACCTTTTTGAGAGAGGCATGGTTGGCTATGTACTTCCTTCTAAGGGCCGCCTTTGCAGTATACCCTAGGTTCTGAGCCAATGTGTTTTCATTTTCATTGGTTTGCATGAATTGTTTAAGTTCCTCTTTAATTTCCTGGTTGACCCATCCATTCTTTAGCAGGATGCTTTTTAACCTCCAAGTGTTTGCATTCCTTCCAAATTTTTCCTTGTGGTTGAGTTCCAGTTTCAAAGCATTTTGGTCTGAAAATATGCAGGGAATAACCCCCATCTTTTGGTACTGATTTGTGAGCCAGTATATGATCTATTCTGGAGAAAGTTCTGTCTGCATTAGAAAAGAATGAGTATTCTGTTGTTTTAGGGTGGAATGTTCTGTATATATCTACGATGATGTCTCTTACTATTAATGTATTATTATCAATATGATTATTTTTGTTATTAGTTGGTTTATGTAGTTGCTGCTCCCACTGGGGGCATACGTATTTACGATTGTTAGATTGTCTTGTTGGATAACCCCTTTAAGTATGATATAGTGTCCCCCTACATCTCTTACTACAGTATTTGGTTTAAAATCTAATTAGTCTGTTATGAGAATTGCTACCCCAGCTTTTTTGAATGCCATTACCATGATAAATGGTTCTCCATCCCCTCACTTTCAGTCTGGATGTGTCTTTAGGTTCAAAATGAATCTCTTGTAGGCAGCATATGGATGGGTCCTGCTTTTTTCTCCAATCTGAAACACTGTGCCATTTCATGGTGCATTTAGGCTGTTCACTTTGAGAGTAACTTTTGAAAGATATGAATTTAATGCCATGGTATTGCCTGTAAAGTCCCTGTTTCTATAGATTGTCTGTGTTAATTTCTGGTGCATATTACTCTTGGGATCTTTCTTCTTTTATAGAATCCCCCTTAATGTTTCTTGCAGGGCTGGCTTGGTGGTCACATATTCTTTCAGTTTCTGCTGGTCCTGGAAGCTCTTTTTCTCTCTGTCCATTCTGAATGACAGCCTTGCTGGATAAAGTATTCTTGGCTGCATTTTCTTCTCATTTAGTATCTGAATATGTCTTGCCAGCCATTTCTGGCTTGCCAGGTCTCTGTGGATAGGTCTGATGTTATTCTGATGTTCCTCCCTCTCTATGCAAGAAATCTCTTCCCTCAGCTGCTCTCAGGATAGGCTTCCTTGGCTCTAAGATTTATAAGCTTCACCATTATATGTCAGGGTGTTGATATATTTTTATTGGTTTTGGAGGGGTCCTCTCTGCCTCTTGGACATGAATGCTTGTTTCCAGATTAGGGAAGTTCTCATCTATGATTTGCTCAGTTACACCTCTGGCCCTCTCTCTCTCCACCCCCTCAGGGATACTAATAATTCCGACATTGGAACGTTCATTGTGTCATTGACCTCTCTAAGTCTATTTCCACGGGCTACTAGTGCCTATCCCTATCTTCCTCAGCTTCTTTCCTTTCTATCAGCTTATCTTCTAGATCTCTAATTTGTTCTTCTGCCTCATTTACCCTGGCTGTTAGAGTATCCAGTTTAGACTGCATCTCATTCATAACATTTTTAATTTCGGCCTGATTAGATCTCATTTCTGCCCTTAGAGTTTCTATATTGTCACTAATGCTTTTCTTCAGCCTAGCTATTGACTTCATGATTGCTATCCTGAAGTCTATCTCTGCCATCATGCTTATATCTATATCCATTAGTTCCATGGCAGAGGACATTGTCTCTGGTTATTTTCTTTGTTGGGAGTTCCTCCTCCTCCTCATTCTGTTGAGGGATCATTAAGGGAATGGACAGAATCCAAAATATCAACCACGCCCCAAACAAAATGCACCATAGAAAAAATCTGAAGTGGTCGAACGCTACCACAGATGTGCCACCAAAGCCAAGATGATCCAAATCAGTAAGACAAAAGAAAAAAGAAAAGAGAGAGAGAGAGAGAAAAAAAAGAGGGGGAGGTGGGGAGAGAGATTATAATCTCTCAGGGTGGACACAGCAGGGTAATTTGCCTATTCCTGCTTGATTTTTGGTCTGTGTGTTAGAAGACACTATATTCCAAAATTGCAAAGAAATCAGAAATTACGTATATATCAGGATAAAATTGAATAGAATGAAAAACGGGCTAGTATGGGGTATAAATCTATAAAAGATATATGTGAAAAAGAAAATCAAAGTTAAGAAGTGACTTAAAAACATAGGTTGGGAAATATGAATCCTTTTGAAATGGGAGCAGGGTTTCAAAAAAAAAAAAAAAAGAATAAGAAAATAAACTAAAAAAGAAATGTAAAATTTTAGCCTGAAGTATAAGTGAGTCGTGAGGGAACACCTGTAGCTCCTGTTATTTTCCCCTGGCGCTGGAGTTTTACAGTCCTGTGGGAAATAAGCTTATCATTCACCTGTTCTTCCAGTCTGTCTTCTGGGGGAGGGGCCTGCTGCTGGGTTTCTTAGGCATCTTTGCCTGGGTGGAGTTGCCCCACCCCTTGTTAGGGGTGTGGGCTTAATGTAATCTGGTTGGCTGCATGGATTTTGTTCCCTGGCATCTTTCCACTTCTCTTTAGAGGGTCAGAGCAAATATGGCAGTGCAGAAATCTCCAGCCCAGAACCTAAACATCGTGGTAGCCCCCCAACAAGTCCTACAGGCCAATCCATCTCCACCTCTGCACTACCAACCTCCACAGACTCATGAAATTCATGCCCACTGCCCCTCTCCTGCAAGAGTCATGGGGATCCGTGAGCATCTTTGCACTTTGTGACTTTGCAATTTCTAGCAGCCATGGGCTTGCACATGTACCCTCTTCCACAGCTGGGTGCTGCCCCAGCATCCCTTCATGGGCCACACTGCCCCAAGAGCTGTCCCTCTCATGGGTGTAAGCTGTTCTATTTCTTCCCTAGGAATTTAGACAGCCCACACCTTCTAGTCCTTTTCAGGGTGGTCAGGCATAATGCAGTCTTCCTACTGGCTCAGCTTGTGGTTTATGGTGACTGGAACTGAAAGTTCCCTCTGGGCTCACTGACAATAACCAGTCTCCCCACTCCACTGCTTGGGCACTCTATCAGTTTAGACTCCCCCATTCTTTCTGAGTCTCCTGGAATCCTGAGACCACAGTGATTCACCTCAAATTCTGCCCTATTTCCCCCCTGTGCCCTTTCCAGAGGGGGTGCCTCTCACTAGAGCAGATTTCCAAGGGTCCTGGTTTTTTTGTTCTGGTGTTATATCACTTTCCAGTGGCTGGCTTATGGAGGCTCCCTCCCCTCTCCACTTATCTTCGGATATTTCCCTCGAAGATTCAAGGTTCTGCACCTCCTACCTTGCAAAAAGTAGTCATTTTTCTGCTTGTGGAGATCCAGATAAATCTAACATCTCAGGTTGAATTCATGTGTGCTCAGAATGGTTTGATAGATATCCAGCTAAATTCGAGGGACTGGATGAAACGAGGTCCCCTACTCTGCCGCCATCTTGCCCCCCTTCCAGAAAGAAATTCCTGGCAGTGCAGGAATCTCTGGCCCAGAGATTTGGGATCACAGAGAACTGCAAAACTGCAGCACTAGGGGAAAATAGTATATAGAATTCATGTTTTTTTCCTCTCATGATTCTTTCGTCTTTCAACTTTAATATTTTTTCCTTTTCAACTAATTTCTTATTTTATCAACTTTTTAAAAGTATTTTTTAATTTTCATTTTAACAATGACATTCTATCCTTTTATTGTACATAATTTTATTTTTGTATATGTATATCTTTCTTTACAATTTTGGGATCTAGTTTGTTCTAACAAGCAGATCAAAATACACCTGGAATCTATTTATTGCTCTGTTCTGTTCACCGGTCTGATTCTATTCTCTCTCTTTTCAGTTTCTGGTCCCTTCTGATTTGTTTAGTCTATATTTCTCTGGGGTAGTTGTTGCTATTTTAGTATTTTGTTCTCTTGTGCGTGTATTCTTCTCTGGACAGAATGACAAGATAGAAGAAATCATTTCCCCAAAAGAGAACAAGAGGCAGTACTGACTGTCAGGGGCTTAATCAGTATAGATGTAAGAAAGATTGTGGAACTAGAGTTCAAAATAATGATTATAAAGATACTAGCTGGGCTTGAAAAAACAGAGAAGACACTAGGAAATCCCTTTCTGGAGAAATAAAAGAACTAAAATCTAATCATGTTGAAATAAAAAGGCTAATAATGAGATGCAATAAAAAATGGAGGCTCGAACTACTAGGATAAATGTTGCAGAAGGGAGAATTAGTGATATAGAAGACAGAATAATGGAGAATAAAGAAACTGAGAAAAAGATAATCAACTACTGGATCATGAGGGGGAGAAATTGAGAGATAAGTGATACCATAAAGCAAAACAGTATTAGAATAATTGGGGTCCCAGAAGAAGAGGAAAGAGAGAGAGGGGCAGAAGGTATATTTGAGCAAATCATAATTGAGAACTTCCTTAATCTGGGGAAGGAAACAGGTATTCAAGTTCAGTAGGTAGAAAGAACCCCTCCCTCTCAAATTCAGTAAAAATGGTCAACACTTCAGCATATAGTGAAGCTCGCAAATTTTAGAGATAAAGAGAAAATCCTGGAAGCAGCTCAGGAAAAGAGGTCCTTAACCTACAAGGGTAGACACATAAGGCTGGCAGCAGACCTATCCATAGAGACCTGGCAGACCAGAAAGGAGTGGCATGATATATTCAGGAGCTAAATGAGAAAAACATGCAGCCAAGAATACTTTGTCCAGCAGGGCTGTCATTCAAAAAGGAAGGAGCAATAAGGAGCTTCCAGGACAAACAGAAACTAAAAGAATTTGTGATCACTAAACTAGCCCTGCAAGAAATATTAAAGGGGATCCTTAGTGAAGAGAGAGCCTAAAAGTAACATAGACCAGAAAAGGACAGAGCCAGTATACAGAAACAGTGACTGTACAGGTTATACAATGGCACTAAATTCATGTCTTTCAATAGTTACTCTGAATGTAAATGCGCTAGATGCTCCAATCAAAAGACACAGGTTATCAGATCGGATAAAAAAGCAAGACCTATCCATCTGCTGTCTACAAAAGACTCATTTTAGAATCTTTTAGATCCAGATTGAAAGCGTGGGGGTGGAAAACCATTTATCATGGTAATGGCATTCAAAAAAAGCTGCAGTAGCTATCCTTATACCAGACAAACTAGATTTTAAATCATAGACTGTAATAAGAGATGAAGAACACTATATCATAATTAAAGGGTCTATCCAACAAGAAGATACAACAATTGTAAATATTTATGCCCCTAACATGGGACCAGCCAATTATATAAACCAATTAATAACAAGATTAAAGAAACACATTGATAGTAATACAATAGTAATAGGGACTTCAGCACCCCACTCACAGCATTGGACGGATCATCTAAGCAGAAGATTAAAAGGAAACAAGGGCTTTGAATGACACACTGGACCAGATGGACTTCAAAGATATGTTCAGAGCTTTCCATCTTAAAGCAACATAACACATTCTTCTCAAGTGCACATGGAACATTCTCCAGAATAGGTCACATACTGGCTCACAAATCAGGTCTCAACCAGTACCAAAAGATGGGGGTTATTCCCGGCATATTTTCAGACCACAATGTTTTGAAACTTGAATGGAATCACAAGAGGAAATTTGAAAGGAACTCAAATACTTGGAGGCTAAAGAGCATCCTGCTAAAGAATGAATGGGTCAGCCAGGAAACTAAGGAAGAATTTTAAAAACTCATGGAAACAAATGAAAATGAAAACACAATGGTTCAAAACCTTTGGGAGATAAGTGGGATGCCCCCGGGCATCCCTCTGTCCCAGGGTGGGGGTCAGGGTGGAGTCCACCAGCCTTGTGGGCCGCCAGTGAAATACCACTACTCTTATTGTTTTTTCACTGTCTCAGGGAGGCAGGTGGGAGGGGGCAAGCCCCAGGGGGTTCTCACTTCTGGCGCCAAGGGTCCAGCTGCAAAAAACAAACAGATAAACAAACAACAACAAAAACCTTAGGGCAGAAGCAAAGGTGGTCCTAAGAGGGAAGTAAATAGCAATACAAGCCTTTCTCAAGAAATAAGAAAGGTCTCAAATACACAACCTAATCTTACAACTAAGGGAGCTGGAGAAAGAACAGCAAATAAAGCCTAAATCCAGCAGGAGAAGAGAATTAATAAACATTAGAACAAAAATCAATGAAATAGAAACCAAAAGAACAGTAGAATAGATCAACAAAAGTAGGAGTTGGTTCTTTGAAAGAATTAATAAGATCAATAAACCCCTGGCCAGACTTTTCAAAAAGAAAAGAGAGGGGACCCACATAAATAAAATCATGAATGAAACAGGAGAAATTACAACCAACACCCAAGTAATACAAATAATTATAAAAACATATTATGAGCAACTATATGCCAACAAATTAGGCAATCTGGAAGAAATGGATGCATTCCTAGAAATTTATAAACTACCAAAACTGAAACAGAAAGAAATAGAAAACATGAACAGACCCATAACTGGCAAAGACATTTAAGAAACAATTAAAAATTTCCCAACAAACAAGAATCCAGGGCCAGATGGCTTCCCAGTTGAATTCTACCAAACATTTATAGAAGAATTAATACCTATTCCTCTGAAACTGCTTCACAAAATAGAAATGGAAGGAAAACTTACAAACTCATTCTATGAGGCCAGCATTACCTTGATCCCAAAACCAGACAGAGACCCCACTAAAAAGGAAAATTACAGTCCAATATCCCTGATGAACATGGAAGCAAAAATTCTCACCAAGATACTAGCTAATAGGATCCAACAGTCCATTAAAAGGATTACTCACCATGACCAAGTGGGATTTATTCCTGGGCTGCAGGGGTGGTTCGACATCCACAAATCAATCAATGTGATTCACTATAGTAATAAAAGAAAGGACAAGAACCGATCCTCTCAATTGATGCAGAAAAATCATTTGGCAAAATACAGCATTCTTTCTTGATTAAAACTCTCCACAGTGTAAGGATAGAGGGAACATACCTCAGTATCATAAAAGCCACCTACAAAAAGCCCACAGAGAATATCATCCTCAACAGGGAAAAACTGAGAGCTTTTCCCTTAAGGTCAGGAACACGACAGGGATGCTGGTATTATGCTAAGCAAAATAAGTCCCAGAAAGACTATTATCATATGATCTCACTGACACATGGAATTTAAGAAGAAAACAGAGGATCATAGAGGAAGAGAGGAAAAAATAAAACCAGATGAAATCAGAGAGGGAGATAAACCCTAAGAGACTCTTAATCATAGGAAAGAAACCAAAGGTTTTGCTGGGGGGGAGGAGGTGTGGAGGGATGGGGTAACTGGGTGATGGGCATTAAGGAAGGCACCTGATGTGTGTTATATAAGCACTGGGTGTTATATACAACTGATGAATCACTGAACTCTACCTTGAAACTAATACAGTATTTGTTAATTGAATTTATTTTTTTAATTTAAATTCAATTAGCTAACATAGAGTACAAGTACATCATTAGTTTCAGATGTAGTGTTCAATAATTTATCAGTTGAATTATTGGACTTTAATTTTTTTTATTACGTTCAGTTAGCCACTGTATAGTAAGCACATCATTAGTTTTTGATGTAGTGTTCAGCAGTTCATCGGTTATGCATGACACCCAGTGTTCATCACAACATGTGCCCTCCTTAATAGCCATCACCCTGTTATCTCCTTCCCCCACT